CCCGCGGATGAAGGTGCACCAGCGAATGCAGCAAAGTGGGCAGCAGCTGCTGCAGTTCCTCTCGGACTACAGATTCATGAGGAACTTTGGGCACCAGAAGGATCCCTGCCGTTGTCTGCCCCTGTGCCTAGGGCTGGGAGGTGTGCCTGGGCTGCCAGAGCAACCAACGTTCCTCTAACGAGGATGCCTAATACGTGTGCTGCGAGCAAGCCCCAAGCTGAGCGATGAAATCTCTCGCTGAGCGCGTGCCGGTGCGCAGACCGGCAGCCTGGTGCCGGGGGGACCCGCCAGCCTCGCGCATCCCCTTCCTCGGTCCTGTAACTGGTGGGAAGCACAAAGCGGGACAGCCTGATGAGACGACATTAACTTAACCAAATTTACAGATTACGTAAATTATAACGGAAAGGTTTTTGTGCCTTTTGTAAGAACTGACCGTCTTTTGCCTAGTGTCTTAGGAGTCCTTGTGGAGTTGGATCAGAAGTGGTCGCTGTCTCCTGACAGACAAAAAAAACGCTTGCAGATGTCGTTTTTTCAGTCTGTTTACACCAGCGTGATGTGAACTCCTTCCTGACGCTTGCTTCTGCTCCGTTTCTCGCTGTCTCTAGTAATTTGGAAAGACTTTCTTCCATGGAAGTGAATAACTGCATCTGACTGATAATGCAGTAAAAGTAATTCTTGATCCTAACCAGGAACAACTGTGCTAGATAAATTAGCTTGATTACAAGGAAATATTATTTATACACCTAGTTAAGCATGTCAGCACTTGTTCCTCTGTATGCCCTACCGTGTCAGGGGAGAGGAGTAGCAAAGGAAAGCGTGTGTGAATTTATTTTTTTTTTAAAGCTGCTACCAGATGGCAGCTGAACATGAAGCAGAGGAATAGTTTGTGGGAAGAGAAAAGGGACTTGGTTAAAAAATAAATAAAACAAGAAAGTGCCATCTGCAGCTGTGAGTATGGAGCTGGGCTCCAGCCCGTTTCTTGGCACAGGGCAACTGCTGAAGTTCTTGGGGATGAATCATTGGGCTGCAGAAGTTACCAAACATTGTTTAAATGCAAGTATCTTGTTCATATTGCACATCCTGGCACCCCACCCCTTCCCCTTCCATGCGCCCTCTTCCTTCTTGCTCTGCAGTATCCATGTCGTTCCAAACCGCTGGATTTCTATGCAGGCTTTCTGACCAGAGCTGAGGATCGCTGCTCGCTCAGCTCCCGCCTTGCTGCGGCAGGCAGGCAGCGGCAATGTCCAGCGCCTCTGGAGCAAGAGGAAAATGCCGATCAGCAGGGCCTGGTGATGCTACCGAAGGGATGAGGAGAAAGCTTCCTAAAAGCGGCTCCGCTGAAGCGTGCTGAGCAGAGGCGGCCGTGAGGCGGCTGGAGCCGCGGTTCCCAAGCTCCTGCCGAAGCAGGCTCCTGCAAGGGCCCTGGCTGAACTGGGCTGCGCTCCGGCAGCTGGCTCCCGGGCTCTCCTGGCTGAGTGTTTGCTATCCGCAGCGGAGAAAGCAACTTGAAACTTGCATAATTGGTTTGGGGGAGAAAGCTTCCTAAAAGCGCCTCCGCTGAAGCGTGCTGAGCAGAGGCGGCGGGGAGGCGGCTGGAGCCGCGGTTCCCAAGCTCCTGCCGAAGCAGGCTCCTGCAAGGGCCCTGGCTGAACTGGGCTGCGCTCCGGCAGCTGGCTCCCGGGCTCTCCTGGCTGAGTGTTTGCTATCCGCAGCGGAGAAAGCAACTTGAAACTTGCATAATTGGTTTGGTTTGGGTTTTTTTCTCTCTCTCCTTTCCAAAAGGCTGGAGTGGAGATGCCAACTATTGTATAACAAACTTGCAGCCAGTACAATAGCTCACTGCTCCTGTTTATCTTGCCTGTTGCTATCGGAAGTAATAGACGGATACAGAGGTTGGAAACTACAGCTCCAGGGAAAAGCCTCTTTCCTACCTCTGCGAGCACAATCGTACAGGTTGGTGGCTTGCACTGGGCTGTGGTCGGTGCGCCCGAGAAAGGTGGAGGGAGCTTTGGGCGTGCCAGAGCCTGTCCTGAGGGAAAAGGATCCTTTCCTGGCCCGCGAAGCCACGGCCTGAAGCCCTCAAACGGGAGGTTTGACTACTTTGCTTGTTAGCAGTCTGTATGGCTGCGCTCGTTGCCGGGCTGCGGGACGGCTGCCGCGCGCGGGAGGGACCTGCTGAGTGTTCCGGTGCCTGTGTTTTAAACGGCCCCTAAGAACAACCTGCCTCCGAGCTGTGCTCGTGCAAACTCGCAGCCTACCTGGCTAAAAGGTTCTTTACGCTGCTGCTGCAGTCGTGACTGCTCAGGTTGGGCTTCTGACTCCTAAAAGCTGTAGGTATTCACTCTTACCTCTCCCAAGGGGGGACTAGCTGTGCCCAGGAGGGTAAAACCGGTCCTATCTTTGTTATTCGTTAGTCTGGGAATTACAGGCTCATGCTCCTTGAAAACCACGGGGCTTCTCTCTGCTTACCACCTTGGTAAGCATGGCTGTCTCCTGGCTGGAGTAGGTTTGTCTTAGCTGAAACTCCAGGTTCAAGCGCGCCTCTGCTGCGCGGGGCTGCTCGGGGGAGGAGAGCTGCTGCGCTGGAGTCGTCCTTGGCGGAGCTGGCTCTGCTCTCGCCCGCCCTTCTGAAGTCTCTTCTCCCACCTCCATGCCCCGAGGTGTTGATTTTCT